TCCTCACCCAGGATCCGAACTGGTGAACCCTGGGTCACCAAAGTGGAGCGCGCAACTCAACTGCTGCACCACAGGGCTGGCTTCTAAACTATTTTGAATGAATATTTCCTTATCCTGAGAAAAACTTCAAATTCACGTAAATATGCAATCCTTTGTATATTCAGGTATTATAGATACATTCAGATATAATAGACAGAAAAGATAAATTCATCTTTTTTAGAACTTACTATGTGCTAGGTCCTCTAGTAAATGCCAAGGGTGCAGAAATAAAGATGGACAACCACAGGGACCCCACAGGCTGTGGGCACCGCCCTCGAGGTTCAGGTTCTAGTGTGGGTGCTGCATGTGAACATGTTGAGTATGATTGGTGTTCACTCTCAAGCGGGCACGTGGCACATTTTGGACCAGGGGAGCAATGAGTTTGGTTTTGCAGGGTAGACTAACTCTTCCTGGGAAAAGCAGGAAGTCTTTTAAAAATATTAATGATTTGATCTACCTTGAAAAATAATTATTTTCCAGATCAGTAATAAATAGGGAAATGGGAGACTTTGGTGGATTTTAGGCAGTGAAAATATCTAATATGAATATGTGCTAGGAATCTAGAAAATGCTATTGAAGCTTGAGCTACTGGCCTGCATCTTCATCCTCCCAATCTTTATTTTGATCTGCATTATATCCTGGCTGCCTGATCTCTCTTCTTCTTCCGATGCATCTCCATAATTTACAAGCTGGTCTTTAAGGAAATGTGCTTTATAGTAATTATCTTAATATCATATTTTCTTTTGTGTACTCTACTTTATCACCTGTCACTTTCACATTAAGATAGCAACTCCATGAGAGCAGGGACCTGGTTTAGATTGTTACCTGATATATCTCTCAATGTTTAAATCAGTGCCTGATACCCTGCCAGAGTTTATAAACATTTATGAAAGACTCATGAAAGAAATTGACATGATATTGAACATGCAACATTCTAACTGTTCTCTTCTTAAACAAGGTTATAGGTCTGAAAGGCATATATATTGCTTAGTAATACCATAGTGGTTCAAGGCAATATTTCTTTCTTGGCCTTTTCTCCCGTTCACCTCGCAAAACCTTGTGACATGTGTGGAACATTCCAGGTTATCAAGGAAGGGAAAAGTAGGGCATATCTAACTTGGAGCCATAAACATTTTAGTTCAGCTTTTCATAGCTTTGATCTTTCTGGTTTTAGGAAAAATAAAGAAAGAATTCATTTTAATCTTGAGTAAAAAAAGTATGAAATAACCAACTTTTTAATGCCATGTTCAGAACACTTTTTGTCTTTTCCTACATATATCACAGATTTAATTCAGGAACCAAGCTGTTCTATAGACCCATTTGAAAATCGTCGCCAATAGTCAGAGTCATTATAGTTAGCTTTGAAAATCCACCCTTCATTACACTAACTCCTTAGTGTTAATGATTATGGCAGAGATGAAAAGATGCTGGTCCATGATCCTTGTTGGCTATAATTAGAGGATGCACAGGACACCCCACTCTCACAGAAGCAGAGCACTTTGGAGAGCAAAGAGTGGGAGACGAGTTGGGCATTTTTTGCTCTGTGGACTTGTTGGGGGCTGGAGAGGATGATTGAGAATCCTAGTTACTGGGGCAACAGCAGAGAGGAAAATGCCAGGGATCCCTTGGCTCATCAGACAATGCAGAGAAACTAAAAATTACAGAAGTGTTTTGGCTCAGGAGCCAGAGGAGTGCTGCCAAGTTCTGGAGACATTCTGAGATCTCCCGTGAACACTGGGCAGCCAGCGGGCCCACAGTCCACTGTTGACCTTTCCCGGGCACAGTTCCTATCATCATCAAATTGAAAGAGGGAAGAAAATGACACTCTTAGCTAGAAAATACTCAGGTCCTGTTTTCTATAAATGGAGAATAAATACAGATACAAGATAAAAGAAGATGAATACTACTTTTATGTGTACTCGCTAGCACTTTGACCTAAAATAATTTATTGTTAATTGTTCATGTAGATACAGAGAAGACCAGCCAAAAATTCAGATGTTTGCTGAACATGTTCAAAATACAGATCTAAAGAAAAAATATTGATTATTGATTTTTTTTCCTGTTTACATTTGTAGGCACAACATTTTACAACACAGTCAAAGATACAGGGATGTAGCAGTATTATGAATATTTAGAGGATGTTCCACCCCAGTAGAGTCCATATGGAACATCCACCAAAAAGGAAAAAGAAAAAATTTAGACAAGAGAGGAAAACTTACTTGCTCATATAGAATATGCTCCATTTATAGTTTCACTTGATATATTTTATAGCTTTGTTCAGAAAACTTGGTGCAATTGAACGCATTTCTTTTTTCACTTTCTTATGAGTGTGACACTGTAAATGCATACCCACAATCTTGATGTTCCATCTTCTATGTTAGTGAATAATTCTTGGATGCTCTTTATAGTAATATAGAAAGCAATATAGCTAGAGAGAAGTCACAACATTTCTGAAAAGCCAAAAGAAAATCCTAATTTTTTATCTGGGCAGAAATGAAGAATTTTACATGAAGAGTTGCTGTTCCATCACATTCCAGTAATATTTTTATTGATAAGAACATTTCTCCCCCATTTCATTGTTGGGGACCATGTGTTTTTCCAGTACAATCAGGATGTGGTTTTGTGTCTGATTGAATAACTCTGTGAATCCCTAAATACACATGAAAAAAGTATTTTTTGTTTCCAGAATTTATAAAATTTTTGAGATACTGAGTAATTTCCTAAAATATCTTGAAACTGGGGCTAGTAACCATGGAGTATGGGCTTTCATGTCTTTATGGCGTCTGCAGCTTAAGAAGAGAGGACCTTAGTAGATCCCGTCATGTGTTGCTTTGCTTTGATTCTCACCCAACTCTTACACTTCACCTCTCCATAGAGTCACCTGAGTGAACTTTCTGAACCCCTCTAATCACATCCCACTTGCATCATCAGATGCTATTTAGACTTTCAGAATAAAGTACAAATTCCTTAGTGTAGTTTCCAAGAAACTTCACAATCTAACTCTGGCCCACTTCTCAGCCATATTTTGTGCCAGGCCCTTATGTGATCTGTGTTTCCCCCATCCATTCAAACATCCAACCATTTAAAAATATGTTTGAGCACCTGCCATATCCAGGCCAAGTTGTAGGTGCTGCGGGTACAATGGTGCATAACAGATACATTTCCAGATAGCAACATGTACAGAGTTTTACACGGTAGGGGATATATAGGATGCTGTAGACACAATAGAAAAGGCTCCTATCTCAGACTTGGCTGGGGTAGAATGGTCACATGGCTCCCAAGGAAAATTAATATCTAAGCAGAGACCCAAAGGATAGAAAGGGGTCAGGGAGGCAAATAGTGTAGTGAATGGTACCCTGGGAGAAAGATGCGCTTTCCCAATGTCCTGTAAATGGGAACATTCTCAAAGAACTGGAAGAACTTTAAGATGGCTACAATGAAGGACTGTGCTGCACAACAAACTATTTGCAATTGGCCCATGTGCCCTTCTCCTTGACTCTTCTGTTCCCATCTCCTATGTTGGGAGGAGGGCTCTTCTTCTCCCTGTCTGCCTGATGAGCTCCAAGTCATCACTTCATGTTTCCCCTCCTCTAGGGAGTCTTCCCCAGTCACAACATCACCACCACCATCCACAGCATCTCCTTGGTGCCCCGTGGCATGTATTCCATACAGCGCTTATGCTGATTCTTAAGTTACAAAGTCATTGGCCATTTTCTAACACTTTCACTCAGTTCTGCGCAGTTTGAGGGCAAGGATTTTGTCCTCATCTTGTTTTTTCAACTCAGCACAGAGCAGGCACACAGTACATACTCAAATTTTTGAGTGAAACAAGTAGAGATAGTTAAAACGCTGCCTTTCATTTTTACAACCCATCCGCAAATGTATTGATCTGCATTGTAAAATAGGAATCTTCTCCAGACATGTATTGGGGAATGAAATTAATTCAAAGCCTCCCACTGAACACATGGGTGACTTGTGGGATCTTATCTCCCCCAGATAACATAGAAAGGGACAAACCGCAACTTGGCTTGTTTAAAAAGGCTTACATGGGCCAGGCAGCCTTCTGGGGAGAATAATTAATTAGACAGTAGTGGAGACAGAATGGAAAGAAATGCAAATATTTGATCTTTTTTTGAGTGAGAGGATAGAGTTCTGTTTAATGTTCAAAGCGTGTTTTAGGAAATCTTTGGAGAACCAGCCCATCAGAAAAGGAATACAAAACAGGACACCAGTGGAGGAGTTCCTTTCCTTTCCGGTGGCTTCTTTTAGAAATGACTTTTCTTTTCAAATTAAAGGAGAACATAAATTATAATCAGCAACTTTTGTTAGATCAGAAGGATGCCAATAAACGCCCTCTCCTCCTTCTACTTCGCAAAGAGTCTTTGTAGCAGCAAGAAAGGCAACGTGAAAGGAAGGAGTGTCAATTTAGGAAGGCAGGAGAAAGAGAAGGAGAGCAAGAACAAACGAGACCCAGAAAGCCAAGGTGAAGGGGTGCCTGAGAGAGGCAGTGTGCTGTGTGATCTTGGCTTCCCTGGGCTGAAAGAGACTCCAAGAGACAATGGGGGAAACAATCCCCGTAGTTACCCTGCTGGGGAAATAATGGATAAGTTACAAAGGCAAATAATCTCTCAGAAACTGCAGCTCACTTACATACGCTTGGATTGTATTATTATTTCACTTCTTACTAATGGTAACGCTCTTCTCTCAGAAAGCTCCTGTGGCATAATGAAAAAAGAATATATGCAAATCCTGATATTATTATGAAAATAACATGATCTCTTCAAAAGAGGAATAGCAACTAAACGAACAGACCAGATATGTGCATTGCACGGCCACAAGTTTAAAGCTATCCCACATAAATTACGTAAAAACAACAAACCCTCAAAGAGACACATGCTTTAGCCACCCTACATAGTACCAATCACTGTCTTAGCATGTCACACTACTGACAAAACTCATACCTTCCACAGTTGCTCGCTTGGGCTGAATGGTGATGGCTCCTTCTGCAATATCTTCATGCTGGTGCAGTGGATTTATTTTGGATCCCCAGCTGTCTGATCCCACCCAAAGAAAATGACCCACTTGGTCAGCTCTTTTGGCTGCTGCAAGGATCTGCCTGTGGAAAGGAACAAGAAAAGGTATATTAATGATAAAGAGCAGCTGTTGAACACTTACATATTAGGAATCAAGCAGAAGAAAAGCAAACTACTATTTCTCAAAATATAAATAATCGATGGCAAAAAAGTAAGCCAAAGGATTTGTATCCTTAATATATAAAGAAATTTTGTAAACTAGTATTAAAAATCATCAAATTAGCTTGAAGACAACAGGCAAAGAATTATTAAAAGTCAAAGATAAAAGGAGAAATATAAATGACCAATAAGCTAGTCATTCACATACATTAGAAAGGAGGAAAATGCAAATTAGAGCAAGATGTCATATTCCCTTCTTGTATTGGCCAAAATGTTTATTTTGCTTTATTTTGTGTTGTGAGTTTTGGCAGGGGGCCGGAGAAATGAGCACTGTTCATTCACTGCTGGTGGTATGTATCGTTTCTGGAAAGCAATATCTCAGTCTAAATGAAAGTCCTTAAATTATTTATTAAAATGAACAGAACTCCATATTAAGCTTGAAAAGTATACAACCTGTATTTATAAATAAAAATAGTATATTAATAAGAAGGGCAAATAAAAGAAAGAAAAAGAGAAGCTAGTTACTCATGGAAAAGTTACTACAATAATATTTTGGGAAGGACAGGGGATAGATAAGAGGTAATTGCATCTAAAGAACAGAGAAAGCTACAATTAAAACTCCTTTGGTGGTAATACCACAGGAGAAGTGATTTGTTTGCCTCTCAGGACTTGGAGGTGGCAGGTAGCACCGAGGTGCATGGGTAAACATAGGAGGATTGGTTGAAAGATTGTATATGACATGGCAATACCCCAGATTTCCTTCTCTTTCTTCCAGGCAAGAAATAGAATGGTAATTTTCTAATAAAATTTTAAGAAATAAGTTCTGATATTGTGAACACCCAAACAGCAGAAGGTTGTGGATTAGAGATGGTGAATTAAATATGAGGGTGCTGGTAAGGGTTGGGGTGCAGGAAGAAGTTAAAGTTACCGTAAGAGTTGAAATGGTAAGAAGACCCTCTAGGAAATTTACGCTTCTGCTTATGGAATGCTGGAGACGAAGGGTGTGTTGCTCCAAGCAGAAAACAGCTTTTCTGGAAAAATCTGAACCACCCCAGGAAAAAGATCCTACATATTAACATAGAGAGATCCTCTAATGGAATGGCCAATTGGATGCCTGACCAGTCCACTGAGAGCCCTATCAGTTGACAAGCTCTGCCCATGTACATAGAACACTGTAGTGTCTTTCTCAAATAAGAACTGCCAGAAATCACTCATAATTGCAGAAAATTTCCAAAGTAAAATAGAAACTACATAAATTAACAAGGAAAAGGAAACTGGTATGGGGTGGGGCAGAGAAAATACACAAAAAAAACAAAAAAAACCACTACAATTAAATGATAATTATCATCTCTACGATCAAGAACATGATAGAAACCAACAAGAAATAGCTTTTAGTTATGAAAAATATGAAATTAAAATTATGTAAGGAGAGATAATGAAGAAAGTGAAGAAAATTCTCCAGAAAGCAAAACAACAAAAAGGTAGAACATACACAGAAAAAGATTAAGTATCTTAAGGAATAAATCCAAGAATGCCTACATCGAACTAATAGCATTTCCAGGCCAAGTCTACAGGGAAAATAATTGTTTACATAATATTTTTTAATGAAGAAAAATCCAAGAAATTGAAAGTGTGAGTTTCCAGATTGAAGAGGCTGACTTAGCAAAATAATAGCGAAAAATCAAGCAAGTCACAAAATTTAAGACTTTTGGAAAAAATGACAATATCCTAAAAGCTTCTGAGAGACAATCTGGACACATGGAGAGAAGTAAGAAGCAGAATATCACCAACCTCTCTAGAGCAAAAAACAGAGATGATGGATGATGGAGCGATGCCTCCAAAATTGTGAAGAAAAATTATTTATAATCTAGAATTCTAATATTCAACACACAAAGAATCTTGATACAAATAGAATTAGCATATATGTCCAGTGGATCTTACAAAATTTTCCATCCAAAATTAGAACTTCAAACTCGCTGCAAGCTAGGACTCCTGTAACTCATTAGTCACCATAGCTATTTGCTGTAAATCATCGATGTGCCAAGTGTGAGGTATTTAAAAATAAATATGAGGCCACACCGTACATTCCCAACTACTAATTAAGTGTAGAGGCAGAATAAGAGTATTTTTAGTCATGGAACACAAAAATGTTTTCCTTTAATTTAACCTTTTTTTTGAAAAGTATTGGAGGGTGTGCTCCAGCAAAATGAGGAAAATACACCAGGAATAAAAATGAAAGAGACAGAACAGAAAGAAAAAATTTCTTAAAATGATAGAGACTAGTCTATAAAGTAGAAAGATGGAGATTTCAGGAGGCAAGTGCCCAGGAAAATAATGGAATTCACAGATTATTTTCTCTATGAGCATATGGGAAAAAGTGATAGACCTATGACATTAATAATAGAAATATTAAAGATAACTATGCCAGTAAATAATTTGTCATATTAACTCAATGAAAAAGAAAAAGTTTTCCTCCCAAAATCATATCATATCATAGAAGAAATACTTGAAGCTGTAGTGTATAATATTTATATAATAATAATAATGTAAACTCTGATTTTTATTAAATAAAAATCTGACAGAACGATGTAGGGAAGACAGGGGACGTGTAAATGAGCCAAATTTTACCTAAGATGAATTAATAGATAATATTTAAAATTAATCATTACCAAGTTGCAGTAAAGGCACATTGTGCAGATAAGACCAGAAGAAATACCTTAAGGAATTAAGCTAAGTGCTCAAAGAGAACAGGACCAGAGAGCATGGGGGATGGGACAGGAGACTAATGTTTTGCATTGACAGTGTTTTAGTTATATTTTGTTTTTTTAAATATGTACGTTTATTGTTTTCATAAAAACGAACACAGTCAATTATTTATGCTCTTGACTTAGAGATACCACTTGTACTAACCTACCCAAAGGAAATGATCAAACACGCTGTCAAAAACGTCTATTCATTCCTGGAGATGACCTCAATGCAGAGCAATAGGGAGCTGGTTATTGAAACAACAGTGCATCCAAAGGATGGATTAGAGAGCAATTAAAGCAGACTTAGTTTGATTTCCACAAGGTATTGTTAAAAAAGAAGAGTCAAAATGAAAAAAAAAACACTTCACAAGATTATTTAATTCTTATACAATGAAAGATGGCCAAAAATTGCCTGAATATATGTATATATACACATACATATAAAGTATATGTATAAAAGTATATATATACTTTATAAAGTTACATGAGATATATAAAGTTGAAAGTATAAAGTCATATGAGAACACAGAAAAATAAGGATAATATGCAATTCATTGTTCACAATAACAGTTTCTTGAGAAAGTGCTGATGAGGTATCAAAAGGATGAAAAAGGTGGGGAGAAGCCAAGTAAAACGAGGAAAGAAAGGCAAAACTGACATAAATGCAAAAAGTAAATGCTCACTTTAATATGTCTGTGTCAAAGTATGAATGTATTTAGTAAGATATATAAGATTAAACCATTTATAAATGCTTGTGGTATGAAAAGTAAAATGTGAATTGCAAAAAGTAGGATATAAAACTCTATGTAATCCTGATTCTTTTAGGGAAAACTTATGTATGTTTAGAAAAAAATGATTTTGAACATTAAACAAAAACTTTCCTTGTGTTTTTGTTTATCTCTGAGTCTTGATATTACAAGTTTTATCAGAAATTATTTAAAATTGTTGTTTCTGATTATTCTCTCTACGTTTAATTTTTCTATATAATCAGGGTGCAGAGTAAACTTAAGGGTTCCTTTTATTAAAAAGAAACAACAAAATCTTTTCCATATTTTCCAATGGGTTTACAATAGCCATGTATTACCTCTATAGTCAGAATAAAGTATCTCAGAAAAAAATCCACTCGTCTAAAATCCAAATTACCAGTGTCCATGACAGATTTAGCACTTAGCTTCAAAATCTAGATATTACTGTCTTCTCACTGCTTTTCTCTGACAAAGTATTTGAAGTTAACGTTCTAAGAAATCTCAAAATTTCTCATCTACAGTGTAAATCTTCTGAAAAAAGAAATAGAACATCATAGATTATCAGTACTCTTCAGACATCAGTGTGTTTAAGATCATGCTTTGGAAGAAATTTATATATGCACTTGACTTTTATTTCTGTGCTCTATTACTGCTGTCACTTCCATGAATCACAGAATACAATAATATCCAACACACAAACAAACCTCAATGCAAAAAGAACGAGCATAGCTATTGATCAGATTATATACACTTTCACATCCCAAATGAAACTTCACACTACCTGCAAGTCAAGAGAATGATAACTGATTAGTCACCATAGCTATTTGCAATAAATCTTTTAAGTGCCATGTACAATGTATCCAAAAATAAGCACAAAGCCACACCTTATAATGTATTACATGTTCAGAAAATATGGAAAAGATTTGTGGGATGGTTAAAAAGGGTATTAGAGTTGAAAAACAACTGGAGCAAAAAGTCGAGTAATATTTCGAAAACAAAATCTCTTAAAATACTAAAACCCAGAATGTAGGAGAAAACTGCCCTAAGATTAGCTTCATTTTGCCAGGAGAGAAATAAGACATTTACAGGGGTGATCAGAACAGTTTCAAGGAGAAGGGCACGTTTGAAATAGACCTTGAAGAACAGACACAACTTCAACAGTAGAGAAGACAAGAAAACCACGAGCGAAGGCCGTGATGGAGGAGGGATTAGGACACGTCGGAGGACCAGAGTCATGCATTTCAGGTGGAGAACTGGGTGAGGGGAGGGGTGGTCTAAAGGCTAAACTAGGATCACATTTTAAAGCACGATGAAGTTCAGAGAGAGAAGCCTGTACTTAAATTATTAAATAGTGAGCATTAGACTAGACATTTCACTCATTCATTCATTCACTGCCATTCGTTGAGCATCTACTATGTACTGAGCACTGTGGTAGGGATTGAGAATATAAAAGAAAATCAAAAGAGGCATCATCTCTGTCCTATTGAAGCATACAGTCTAATGGAGAATACGGACACTAATTAAATGATCAAACGATGTAAAATTACAGCAGTGACGTAAACTATGAAATTGAGTTATCATGGAGAGCTTGCCAAAGCTACTTTGCTTAGAGAAATCTTCCCTCGGAGAGCAACTCCAGAGACGGTTTGGGATTATGAAGTAGAGGAGGAGAAGCATTCCAGCTAGATGGAAAAGAACTTCCAAAGACCTAGGAGGGAGGAAATACAAATGGCCCCGGTGGTGTAGTACACAAAACGTGAGGAAGCATGGACTGAAGTAAGACTAGAAAGGTAGGACAAGGCCAGATCATCAAGACCTCGGAAGGGTTTCATTATGTTGATGGGAGAATTGAGGCCTTAAGAAGTTAGGAAGTGGGATGGGGTGGGGAGTGGCTTGCCCAAGGTGAAACAGTGCTCATTTAAGTAGCAAAAAAGCCACAAGTATCCCAACTTCAGGTTTAATAGCATTGAATTTAACAGTTCTGGCACGCATGATCAGATCTTAATACTGGGAAGATGGGGGATTCAGAGTCAGCATATAGGATATGTGCAGAGGGGAGAGACAGCACAGGGAAGCTGGTGATGGTGACAGTGCAATATCCAAGCAGGATATAATAATGGCCTGGACCCTTCAACGTTACCCTAATAAAAGATAGTCACCTTCAAGTTAAATGACATATTATTTTGAAGTATAAGACAACGATTTTAAAAACCCACACAGCTTTTTCACATCAGTGAAGGCATAAACTAACACAATCTCTTTGAAAGACAGTTTCCGTCTTTTTTTAAGAAAGGACACTTCTTTGTCTTGGAAACTTCTTTTCTAGGAATTTGCTATAAATACTCACAAAATAAATATCTAAAATTATATACTTGTATAATATTCTATATTTGGATTATATTAATGTTATATATCCACAAATTATGTATTAATATTATATATTTGCATATTTATATTTAGGCACAGATTTGTGGAAAAGAAAGTTTACTGCAACATTATTTATAATTGTGAAAGGCTAAAATCAAACAAATGTCAATCAATAAAGAAGCAGTTGGGTAATTTACAGTACAGATATAAAATGAAATTCTGCTCGGCTATTAAAAAGACTGAGTAAATCTGTAGGTATTGAACTCAGAGACCTCCATGACAAAATGGTAAGTAGAGGCAAACGGAGCAGAACAAGATGGGCACATAGTATGCTACCATTTGTGCCAAAATTTACAAATTGTCTCTAGAAGCACATACAAGAAACTCGTAATTAGCCACTGCATCTGGAAAGGAGAACTCTCAGCTAGGGGACGGGATGGATGGAACTATTTTTTCACCTAGATCTTTTTATAGTTTTTGAGTTTTTAATTAGGTGCAATAACGATTTATTCTAAAATATAATAATAAATAAAGATTCTGGACAGGGGTAGTAGTGGTCAGAAAAGAAAGCAGAGCCTATTTGTGTTCTAGAAACATTTCGAAGGTTAGCTCTACATGGCTTAGCCAAGAATGTAAAGAATGAGGCAAAAAGGGAATTCAAGCTTACAATCAGATTTTTGACTCCAAGGAGGATCAAGGTAAGCAAAGAGAGAGGAGAAAGTGAATTGGAGAATGTAAAGGTATGACGAGCTTGGTTTTGAACATATTGAGTCTAAAGCACCAGCAATACAGACAGAATTATAAGACATTTTTCTTTTACATTAAGAGGAACAATTCTCTGGATAAAAGTCTATTACATTTGGATACATTTTTAATAAAAGAATCTTTAAAAGGTCTAGTGGTTTTCTCTTTTTATAAGTAGTTGAATACATTTATTTTGCTAATAGAGGGGAAATACATGCCAGCAAAATGCTGTGGCTTCCGTGGTTCTCTCTACCCACGTATGTGGGGTAGAAAGCTTGTACATGATTTGTCACTATATAATTATAGATTTGATTCTTCTCTATCTTTTCCCCTTTCTCTGCCAGTATCCTGATCTTTCTGCTGCAACATGCACATTAATGAATTTCATCAGTCATCCTTACTTTATATCCTCATCGTTGGCAAAAATCACGACGGCCCTGGAGTTGGGGGTGTCCAGGAGCTGTTTGATAATTCTATCAAAGTCAATGGTCCTGTCTTTGCGCTCTTGGGGGATTCTCACGGACTGGGCAATGCAGAGCCCACCTGTTTAAGAAAAGAAAGCAGAGTGTCAATAAAGTTCCTGCAAAGATACCAAAGGAACCAAGGAAAGTAATTGGGGAGGAGGAAATTTTGAATTCTCAGGGCACAGCACTTCCTTGGTGATGTTGCTGAATGAGGAAGGCTTAAGATGTTATGCTGAGTCTTGAGCAGTTGTTCATACGTGGTGCACCTTCCATGGTATTGCATAGCCTCATTCTCTTTGTAATGCACTTGCTAATTATGTTAATTATGCCCAGGGAGACAAAAGATATTGATTCTGGGTAGGTAGGTTTAGTTTGACCAAGTAGGTGAGAGAAGGTTTTTAAAATGAATGTAATATACTACAAGAAAACTACGATAAATAAACTACAATAAAAAACCCAAAACTGGAACAGGTAAAGCTCATGTTTAACTCTGAGAGTTTTCTAGAGTTTGTATTCCCAGGACTTTATTTCCCTTTCATACCCTTCCCAACTTTTAAAACTCAGAGCCAATGGGATAAATCTAAAAATAAAAGAACAACAACAACAACAACAACTATTATAAATCAGAGTAACAAATTTTTATTGACCATGTACTATGTGCCCAAGCCACAGGTGTGTTTCTTGTGTGTTATCTCACCTTAAAAACCTTGCAAGATAATTAGTATTACCCGTTTTATGTTAGAAAAGAAGGGGATTAAAGAGATAAATAGACTCATTTACTAAAGACCTCTCAAAGCTGTTATGATATTAATTGACATTATGAATTTCAAGATAGGGAAATATTCAGCAGTTTACTAAGCAACCGATATACTCCCCACTATTCCACGTGTTACTGAAGAGTAGCTCCTGAATTAGTATTCTAAATAACATATGGGTCAAAGAAGAAGTGTCAAGGAAAATTTAAAAATATTTCTAGCTACATGAAAGTGGAAATGCAACGTATCAAAATGTATAGATTACAGTTAAAGTGGTGCTTAGAGGGCATTACATATCATTAAGTGCTTATATTCGAAAATTAGAAATATCCAAAATCAGCAGCTTAAGCTTCTATTTTAAGAAATAAGAGAAAGAAGAGAATACTATAAACAACTTCATGCCAATAAATTCAGAAATTTAAATGAAGTGGAAGAATTCCTTGAAAGACACAAATTACCAAAACTGAATGAAGACTCTATAACCTGAATAGTCCTATATATACAAAGATACCAAATCACAGTTTTAAAAAAACTTCCAAAAAGAAAGATCTAGGCTCAGATGGCTTCACCAATAAATTCTACCAGTTAATGAAGAAATAAAATATAATCTGTGCAATCTCTTCCAGAAAATAGAAGAGCAGAGAAAATCACTCATTTCATAAAGTCAGTATTACCCTAATACCCAAATCAGGCAAAGATATTAAGAAAAGGAAAAAGAAAGACCAATACCATTCATGAACATACTTGCAAAAATCCTAAAAAAAATAAATAAATAACTAAATAAACACAGCAATACAAACAAAGGATAATACATATTAACCAAGTGGATTTCATGAAAGGAATGCAAGGCTGATTCATTATTTGAAAATCAATCATTACAATTCACATATTAGCAGACTAAATAAGAAAAAAAAAATATGATCATCTCCATACACGCAGAAAAGGCACTTAACAAAATTCAATATATATTCATGATAGAAACTATAAAGTAGGATTAGAGAAGAATTTCCTTAGCCTAAAAGAGGCATCTACTAAAAACCTACAATAAGCATCACACTTAATATTAAGAAATGACAAGGCAAGCTTCTACTCTCTTACCACTCCTATTCAACATTGTACTGGACATCCTTCTCAGAGGAATGAGGAAAGAAAAAGAAACAAAAGGCATACAAATTGCAAAGGAAAAAAGTAAAAGTGTCTCTATTTGCAGATGACAGGATTGTCTCTACATAGAAATGCCCCCAAAAAACTATCAAAAATCTCCTAGAACTAAAGAGTGAGTTATGCAAGCTTGCAGGATTTTATATAGGATTTTTATCCAAAAAATAAAAAAGTCAATCATATACCTATATATCAGCAGTGAACAATTGGAATTTTAAACTAAAAACAGTGCCATTAACAGTATCACCCAAAAATGTGGTGCTTATATATCTACCAAAATATGTATAGAATCCATAAGCTGAAAACTATAAAACATGGCTGAAAGAAATCAGAAAACTTTTAAATAAATTCTTGCCAATTTTATCTATAGATTCAATGCAATCTCAATCAAAATCTCAGCAAGATTTTTTTTTTTTTTGTATATCTCAGCAGCTAATTCTAATATTTATACAGAGAGCCAAAGGAAGTAGAATAGTCAAAACACCTTGGAAAAAGGAGAACAAAACTGGAGAACTCACTACCCAAGTCCAAGCTACAGTAATCAAGACAGTGTGGGACTGGTAAAAGGATAGACTCTTAGATCAATGGAAGAGAAAGGAGGTCCAGGAACAGACTGACACGAGCATAATCAACTGATGGTTGGCAAGGATGCAGAAGCAATGAATGGAAAAACGATGGTCTTTTCAACAAATGAGGCTGAAACAATTGGATATCTAATATACATACACAGAAATAATGAATCTTAACAAATACCTCATGAGGTATACAAAAAGTAATGACAAATGGATGATAGACCCAAGCGCAAAATATGAAACCAGAAAAGTTTTATAAGAAAACAAAGGGGTAATCTATGTGACCTTAGGTTTGGCAATGAGTTTTTGGATATGACATCAAAAGCACAATCCATAAAGAAAAAACTGATTAATTAGATTTTATTAAAATTTAAAACTTCTGTTTTATGAAAGATACTATTAAGAAAATGAAAACTTAAGTCAGAGACTTAGAGAAAATCATATATCTAAAAAATGACTTGTACCCAGAATATATAAAGAACTCTTAAACTCAGTGATTAAAAAAAACACAACTCGAACTAGGCAAAACATCTAATAAACACCTACAAAAAAGATGTAGAGATGGCAAATAAGCACATGAAAAGATGCTCAACAGCAGTCATTAGGGAAATGCTAATTAAAGCCACAGCAATATATCACTACATACCTATTAAAATAGGTTACCCAAAAAAACCCTCAAAAAACAAAAAAACTAACAATACCAAATGCTCGAGAAGATGCAGGGCAATAAGAATTCTCCTTCATTGCCGGTGGGAATGCACAATGGTACAGCCACTTTGGAAAACAGTTTGGCACTAATGCTAAACATAGAGTTAACATATCAACCAGGAGTTCAAACCCTACATATTCATCCCAGTGAATTGAAAACTTACGTTCACATGAATGTGAGCACAAGTGTTTATAGCAACTTTATTCATAATCATTAAAACTGAAAACAGCTAAGACAACTGTCAACAGGCCAATGGATAAACCAACTGTGGTACATCCATACAATAGAATACTACTCAGCAGCAAAAAGGAACTACTGATTCACGGAAGAACACTAATAAATCTTAAATTCATTTTGTTTAGTAAAAAGAGCCAAACCAAAAAGACTACATATTCTATAATTCTATTCATATGATATTCTTGAAAAAGCAAAACCATAGAACTGTAAAATAGATTGGTGGATAGCAGCGGTTGAGAGATGGAGGAGGGGTGACTACGGAGGGAATTTGGGGTAACGGAAATGCTCTGCATGGTACCATAGTGGTAGACACAGTGCTCCATACACTTGTTGAAACCTTTCACAACACACCACACAATTGGACTTTACTGTATGCAAATTTTAAAAAATAAACCAGGATATCAGAGGATCCTAAAATGGAATACATACTGTGACAAATGAACCGAACTGTATTACAAACCATATAAGGAAATTTCACTGAAGAAGATGAGTAGAAAAGAAGTTGACCTAAGTAACTTAAAACATAGCGCTTTGACTGGAAATGCTAAGTCTAAAGAAAAAAGAACTGTACATAAAATGGTACTCTGATTTGTAGATGTTCCACGGGGATGTGAGTTAGCAATTCTGGAACTGCTTTCCATACTTGAGTTGAACAAAACAGTAAATAAATTGTAGATAATGGGAGCCAGGTGTCTCACTGTCAGAGAAAGAATTTATACGTAAGCAAAAGAGAAAAGCTAGAATGAACTGTGTGGTGCTAGATGGAGTCAGAAATCTCGGTGTAAACTCATGCTTTAGAGAGAGAGAGATATGCTTGCATCCATGGGTTAGTACACATACATATATATCCTAGCTTTCTCCACAGAGAGAGCCTAGAAGCAATGACACCTCACAGAACCAGCACACCTAGTGCCCAGATGTTGGTTTTAAAATACCATTTTTCAGAAGAAAAAAGAAAACAAATCTCTTTGGAAAAATGGCTTATTCTAAGGCTGGGGCAGTGCGTATACAAGATGAGCCCACAGTGTCAGAAAGTAAGAAGTACACACAGGAAAAGAACAGAACTATGGAGGTATGTCTAAACAACACAGGAGCCACCTGAAAGAGAGTCCAATGAACAAAACTAGAACAACATGAATGATAAAATAAATAGTGATGATATGGAATGATTATCCAAAGAATACAATGCACACTTATGAATCCATACTGATAGAAATAAACCACTAAATAAATAAAAGAGAAAGGAGGAATCTTCCCTCAGGAGAATTACAAATAATAAACGTGCAAGGAATGAGAGAAATGGAATCTCCCCAACAGAACATCGTAGTAATGATTGCTTCACGTGAGATCCACTGATGTAGGCTAAACTTAGTGTGGCAAACTATAAGGAGACACTGAACATTTGTATGGCTTAAAAGTATCTCCCCCAAAATATTTACTTGTTATTCTGGCAGTTTTAACATATGCCTACAATTCCTTTGATACTTTCTTTGAAGAAGTGGAGATTAATTCCTTTACCCTTAAGTGTAGGCTGGACTTAGTGACTTGCTTCTGAAGAATTGTGAAAGGAAAACGAGTAACTTAACAGCAGAGAAACCTTGCAGACATGACTTTAACTGGATCACTAAGTTAACATCACTGTTGA